ATGATGGGATCCAGGCAGGACAAGTGAATGCCAGGGTTTGCACGGCATCCGGAGGAGTTGCCCCAGCTCTGCACATCAGATGAGTCCAGGTTCATCCCAGGGATCCAGGTCCCACAAAGAATCCCTGGGTTTAAAATTTTTCAGGGGATTGATGGTGTTAGAAACCTTTCTTTAGTAACTTTACATGTTACCTTGTTAACCAAACAGCATATATTCAGTGAGGGTCCATCTGGTTCAATAGAAATAGATCTTTATTAATAACATGCACATCATATGTATATTTAAAATACATATACATTTTTCTACTATTCACTTTAGAAAACAATTTCATAAAAACCTTTAATCAGGTCCCAAGTAATTTTAAACATTAAAAAGCCATTTTTTGTTATAGAACTAGTAGGTATTACTCCAATTAAGTGGTGTATAATCACCATGGATTTAACATAATGCAGGCTCATGCATTTCAACAGAAATAGGTGTTCCCTTTTCTGCTTTGTTAATCATGTCAAATATATGATGATATACTTGACAACACCTGCCACAGTTATTATATGCAATTGTGATTCCCTGCTGAGAGCGCGCTGTACAGATGGCATTTAAAAGCTGGAGACAACTTTTTTACAACTTTCTGCGTTCCTGTGAGGGGTGTCTGGCGTTGCAGGTAACCCAGAACCCAGTTATGACAGAAACCAGAAAAACAGGATTTCATGAATGGCAAAGAGGAAAGCAATCTAAAAAAGAAGAGAAGAGTGAATTGCCGTATCCCCTCTGTTTTCATTGCAAACTAAGGTCAGGGTTGTGTTTCCCAAGGCCCTGCCGAGTACCGAACCGGATCTGTATAGAGGGCACAGCGTTATCAGCTATACATGGTTTGCAGATTTACAGAACATATACAAAGGCTCGTATGAGGATGGGACTTTAAGGCACGATAGTCCATATACTCAACACATTCATTGAAAACAAAAGTTCAATTTACAGTGCAATATAAACCTATTCAAGAACTCAAGCGGCAGCTCGATAATCACTTTCACCGATAATGAGGCAATTGAGGAGTACTTCTGCAGCGCACAGCAGCCCCAGCCCTGCACACACTCATACACATGCTGAGCGTCAAGTACACGAGAGGCCTCTCTGGCTTCGGCGAGAGGATCTGTGCAAAGAAACTTAGATGATAACTGAAGCGTTTACAGGAACAGGGCCCTAATATTTTGGGGTGTCTACACCAGGTCATACAGGCAGAGATGCTGCTCCACTGAGGCAGGCTGCCTGTGCCCCTCCTGTCTTCAGCCACAGCTCGTGCGGCTCCAGAAGGTGACCCCACGCATGCACCCATGCACCCACGCAGCCACGCCGTGCCTCCCAGGGAGCCACCACCGCCCCTTCTGCGTCCAGGATCAGGCCTGGCATTTACAGCCAGTTAGGGAAAAGCGGCACAAAGAAAACTTAACTCATTTAAACACTAATTACAGTCAAGTGTGCTGCTGTTCCGAGACGAAAATGAATTGTCCTAAGCCAGTCATTGTCAAAATGATCAGCTATCATTACCAAGTCTGTCCTTGTCACCCAGCTCGTCTATATTCTCTCTGATGAATATACAATCTCCAAGGCAACTGAGTCAAAGGGAAGGAAGGACTTTCTTTACATCCAGTGCAAACATAGCCCATATGTGGGAGTTCCTACTGCAGTCATAATAGAATATATATATATATCTATGACTGAAAGTTGACCACCTACAGATTCACACATCAGAAGCCAGAAGAGCTGAATTGTAGCTACAAACCCAAAAAAGAAGAAATCACTGTATGTAGCTGTATTAAAATGCTGGTACCCGGTAACTTGGTAACTAAATGTTAAAATCAGTATATAATTCAAAAAGTGTCAAATTAAATATTTCGGGAGTAACTTGCAAAGTTATTGAACCTTTTTACTTCTTTATCACCCCATAAACTATGTTTTTTAAGCACTAAAGTAGAATATTTCAGACCCACTTTTCAACAGCACAAATCACTGTGCAAAGCAGAAGGCAGTAAAAACTTGAGCAGACTTAAAATATTTAGAATTGTGGGCCTTTGATTCAATTTCATACCAAAAGTCAACCATAAAAAAAACCAATTTGTTTTCTAGAAAGAAAGAATCAATTTTAACAGCTCCTAGAGCAAGTAGAAATAAAAAAAACAGATAATGTTTTTTGTTCAAGAAAAAAACACATGAGAAAAACACGAGTAAAATATCGTCCTCTTTCACAGGTAGCTCACAGAGTTTTGTTATCTGATCCAGATTTTTGTCTGTTATATCTGTTCAGTTATTGTAACACCTTATCAGAGAAACTTTCAATGGGTAAGGAAGTATCTGCCCCTTCCAGCAGGCAAGGAAGTTATTCTTCAAAGATGAATCTGATGGGGGCAATGGGTTTTTTCAGGTGAGGTTAAAGGCTTTAATCCTACTGAGCTTTTTCATTCCACTGAAACACTATTAACTTTACATAAAAAGTTTTGTTTTTTCAGGCCAGAACCGTCCTCTGAATATAACAAAGTAGGTCAGTGAGAGAACAAAAAGCATTTTAACATTTCATGTGGCTGCTAGATCATTATGAATTCAGGCGAAAATGGACACGGAGAAAAAAACTGCATAAATCAGATCACTTCAGAGCGGAAAATTACACAGTTTGAAAAATCAGAAGACAGAAGTAATTTTCCTTTATCACCTAGCAGTCTTCTAATGTCCCTACCCCAGCCCCTAAGTTCGCACGAGGCGCGCAAGCTGCCAGCAGAGGCCAGAGAGCTCTTTGGGGGATAATGGCACCTCTCACCACAGCCATCATATCATCGGCCCACATCCCACGCAGCAGATGGGTTTCGCTGCCAGCTTTTACTGGCGGTAATAGGGCTGTTCCACACACCTGATAATTAGCCTGGCCTTTCTCAGCCCGCCCCTGTCGAGATGGGCATGGCCACTTTTAGCTGGAGATTTCTCGAACTACGCCAAATGCGAGCTTAAGCGTTCGCAGGATTTGGGGCTGGTGCAAGCCCAGGGGCAGCAGGAATATAACTACACATAGCCAAGCAGCTCTGACACCAAATCACACTGACCGAGGGTTTAAAGACATCCTTTTGTAAGAGACAAGTAAATGTGCCTTGTCTCAAAATAAAACCAAAAACCTGAACATTCATCATGACTAATAGCACCTCTCAAACTGCACTGCCCTGTTTTTCCAGCCTTCCCAAAATATCTGGGCTGTTTATGTTCTCCAGTTTGCAGGTTATCCTTGTTTTGAATTAGACTGTTGCCTTTTTTTTTTTCATTTAAAAAGGTGTCTGGATTTCACTGTTTCCTTCTGTCTCCTGAACCTGTACTGGCTTCTAACTACTGATATCGCAGTTAACTTTGCTCTTCACACCTCCTGCTTTTGCCTTTCTGTCTTTTCTCCTGCACTAACACGTGCCTGAGAGCTGCGATGGTACGTGCAACACGCACGACTAGGATGCTCTAAGCAGGGTTACAGGAGGAATCCTACATGAAGCACGTCCCTGGCAAGCAATGGTATTTGTTCGTACTGTATAATGCTTCGGAAATAGCATCAGCCACATCTGCATGAGCAAAGCCTTTCAGAATAAAAAAATTAGGTTCTTAGATACATATCTGCCTCCAGCTGAGTGTGCGCTATTCTTTGCTTTGCTTTAAAGCTTTTAAGTGGTGATAGCCAGCGCGGCAAAGCTGGTTTCTTCACTGTCAGCCAACAGACCTGTAGGACTTTGACAGGCTTTAGATCATCTCGTACATTTGTTCAGCAATTCTGGGACGCGAGTCACCCGCAGGTGAACTGCAGGTGTATCAGTAACAGATAGTTTACAGGCTCGTTAATCACATTTCCCCAGGTTATAGTGCAATCTTTGCTTTTGACCCCATTGCTGGAGCGTCATCTTTTCCCTTATATTACTCTTTGGTATTTTCATGACATAGCTTTGGCAGCTATAAATCTTTCCACTTGTAGTCATCAATTTGCTGAACATCTCTCATGTCATAGCTTGTGAAATATATATTTACATATTCTAAGGTTAATTCCCAGATTGAAATTAGACATTTCACTTAACCTGAAACACTATTACTAATGCTGAGTAGTTTCATCAGGAGAACCTCTGAGGTTTTACTAGCATCTGTCAGATACATTCATTCTCTATCTATGAGAGTTATCATTGTTTTTCTGCCTTTTATATTCCACATAAAAAGAAATTACTGTCTATTCCCTAGCACCAATGTGAACCTGGCCAAACAGCAAATTAGCATGCAAAAAAGTATCAGGGAAACAGCGAGGGAAAGAGTCAAATGAAGTTAAGGAAACACTGATGACGGGCTGAAGAAACAATCTTTCCTGTGAGTTATTCTGGTTGGTATTAAAATAGCAAAGTAGATACCAGCTAAGAGATAATATAAGTAAAAGATGAATGCAATTATTTAAAAAAAAAAAAAGAAACAACTTGCAAATCTCAGTACAGAGTGTCTTGTAAGTAGCAAGCGAGTTAAGTCTCTGAAAACCCTAAGCAAAAGGCTGTTTCCTTTGGCACTGACTCCTTCATGGTCAAAGCATTTCTCAAAGAAACTTTGTATCTGTACCTTTACAGTAAATAGCTTGCATATTACTCCTCACTGTTAGACTACTCCACTGCTTTGGGGGCTCCCCTTCCACCGGGGATGGCATAATTTAACTGCAAAGTGATTTTGAACGTCTGTATCTACACACAGATAACTTAAATGCAGCTTTGCTTCTACAAAACACATTGCGCGCAGTCTCTGCGGATAAGGACCTCCGTATCGCACCAGCTCTGTGTGTATGTCAAGGTACTTCATAACCAGGGGGTTAACAGCGGGGACTGCAGAGCATTATTCAAAGTACCTTCCACTCAGCTCTGAACGCATCCGCCTTTGATCACAAGTATATCTGCAATTAGTGCCTCATCTTAACATCTCAATAAGCAGTTCACGCATTCAGAAACAGACATCAGTGGGTCTAACAGCTACTTTAATTCATTTTATAAATAAGCAATTGAGAATTTTGCTCCAAGTGGCTGCTCGTGTAGCCCATTCCGTAAACGGCGTTCTCTGCAGAGTAAGGCACGATGCGATACGAATGCAGCTCTTCATAATAGAGCGACTGGGAACAGCACTCCTGTACCATAAACTTCAGCCGTTTTCGTGCATCAGAGTAAGCAGTCCTATAACATGGAGCCTCCTTAAAGTATTCATAGCTCTCCCTCTCTGTCTCTAGGTGAATCTTCCTCAACAGATTGTTAATTAATACAGACCTACGGAGATAGGCTTCAGGGTCATCCAGGAATCGGAGTTTCTGGAGAGAAAGTTTTAAAATACAAGTCCGGTCCTCGGGTAGTATCAGGTGCTGGGGAGTAAAGAGCAAGCAAATTGGTCTTTAGGATCGAGGAATGAAACCAGGGGAGGATGGGGTCTGGAATGAGAGAGCTACTCACTTTTGGACAATACTCATGGTAATCTTGATGTAAATGTTCTTCTTCTGCATATTTTCTCTTAAAGTAGGCTACTTTCGACGTCGTTAATGTCTTTGGTAGGCCCCGATCAGATCAGCTCTGCACAAAACAAGAAGAAAAAGAAGCTCGGTAACGCTTGCTGCCATGGTGGCTGTAACGTCACGGTCCGGGGTGTGTAGGGGAAGGTCCAGAGGTGGGATGCAGCCAGGACGACACTCAGCCTCGACCTGCAGCCCTCAACCCACTGGAAAAATAATTGAGAGGCTGGCAAATGTGAAGGCATTTCTGAGCTGCCACCCTGAGGCTTGCCAGCACGGAAAGCCCTGCTCTGGAATGACAACCACAGCACTAGGCACGTGCTGCCACTGCTGGGCAGGGTCTCCAGGTCCTACAACCGAGCGGGGTACCCCTGGCCACCCACAGCCTCGCAGAGCACGGCAAGAGAGGTGCCCGAGCCGGGAAGGTCTCCATGCAATGCAGGAGGGACCGGGACAACACCACCCGTCTGCAGAACAGGGGTCCCTGTGCCAGGCTGGGGTGTGTGCAGGACAAGGGATGGGGTTTAATTTCCACACACCACACACAGAGCTCCGTGACTTCCCTGGAAAACCAATGCAGAGCGTATTCACTAGATGGTAGTGTCGTCCCAGAGAAGCAGGAGAGACCCAGCTCGGTGGGAGCGTGATGGAGCTGGTTTGGTCTCTGGGTTGCTTCAGTTTTTCAGGGCACAGAGGACGGAGGCTCAGCCTTTGGGCTAAGAGAAGGGACTATTGGGCTTTTGTCCTGTGAGAAGAGGCCAGTGGAGGTCTGCTCCCCCAGGGCAGAGCCCTGCAGAGGACCAGGGCTCTCGGCACACCTGCAACCAGGCCTGGCTGGCTGCTCAGAGCTCAATCATCTCTATGGAAAGGTGACACGGCGATAATTCAGCATCTAATGAGATCCGTAACTTCGGTGGTATTCAGTCTGCTGAATACTGGGTCCCTGTGAAAGCCAGGATTGGGTTTGGCTTTTCTCTTCACTAGATAATACGAGGAGGCATGTGCATTTGTGGGTGGCATCATCATCTCCCAAAACCTCTCTTTTGTAAGAAATTTCTGTTGTTTGCTTTTAAACGCACTATTTTTTAAAAACTTCTTATGCTGACGTTTAAAGGCAGTCCAGGGAAAGAAAGTATCCGGAGCCACTTTTTAGAATAACTCAAAGTCAGGTCCTATGGGATATGTTTTCTTCCCCAGACTGAGATCTCCTTATGGGGGCATTTGAAACTTAGGTTTTCTGAGGAAATAAAGGACTTGGTTCTGGACTGCTTCTCTGCCACGGTAAGAAAGCCAAAAGGTATTGCACAGCCAAAACACAGACCTCATGTCACTGTTAGGATCCTGCCATGTGACATGGGGGGCTCCTTGAGTCTTAGCTGCAGGTGGGAGTGAAAAGGTACCCACACAACTATTTCAGGGACTGGTGGCATCTCTCCTTCACTGGCAGGAAGGAGTAATGTGCTCTCCCTTCCTTGCTCTACATCAAAAACACACAAGAAGGGGTTGAAGAGGAAATCCCCTCGTAAGAATCTTCTTGTGTTTTCTCCCTGAATTTCAAGTCTGTGAGGATGGAGGTTTCCCATAAAGGATGTTACAAATCTGGGCAGAAAACTCTTGACCAGTGGATTAACACGTCATTGGGAGCCAAGACCCCCAGCCCTGCTCTGGGACCCAGCCCGATACGGATTGCACAAAACAGCAGCATTTCCCCGGGGAGAGGGACCATCGTTCTTGCAGTGGGACAATGTTACGTTTTAATCAACCTGGACCACCGCGCAGAGCAGAGACGTGCCCTGCACCGACCTCGGCTCTCAAGGGCAAGGGTACGGCTGCGGTCTTCACAGCTCTGTTAGCATTGAGTAGCTGCAAACACTGGTTTAAATTCATACGCAGCAACCTTCACCGCTTGCAGGTTTTATTCTAGTATTTGAATTACACCAGAGCCTGGACATCCTGGACATTTAATTACTCTGATATTAGCTTCTCCTAGGCAAAAACCCCACTGCTCTGTTATCTGAGCGCAATCACAAATGCATTTATCCTCCCAGCACCGTGGGATGGGAGAACGTTACAGTTTTCCTCACACTACTCTGAGGAAGACAAAGGTACAGAAAGATGAAGCGACATTCCTGCGGCCACCCAGGCTGTCAGGGCTGGGAAAGGAGCCAAACCCAGCGTACAGGTTGATGAGCCAGCCATGGGCCCACCCTTCCCCTTCAAACCAAGCCTCTAAATGCTAAAACTTGCTCCCTAGTGGTTTTCACTGAAAAGGCTGGAAGCACAGCCCTAGCACTGCCTGTGTGCAGCGCAAGCAGAAAATCAGCCCAAGTGCAGGGGCAAGACAAACAACCACAGTGTGCAGAGCATCACAGCTCGGTCCTTCAGCTCTGCCGGCTCCGTGCAAACCTCTCCTTTGCTGCTCCTGGCCACAGGAATTCCTCTCCCTGCCCCAGAGATGGAGGGTGACAGTGCGACATTCAGCGTCCCCTGAGCACGGGTGGCCCTGGAGACACGACACCAGCAAACAGCAGGGAGCCGGGACAAGGCAAGAAGCCGCTGGAGCGCTGGCACCCTGGCCCTGGGCGGGAGGGAGGGCTGTGTTTTAGCACAGGCCACGGGCTGGGGGCTGATGCTGGCTGGCAGAAGCAGACAGAAGGAATTGTATTTCGCAGAGGGACACATGTGACCATCCTGGCAGTGGGTTCATCGAGTATCCAACTGGCACCCCCTTGCCAGGGTTACGTTCAGCACCAGCCTGGGACATACCCCTTGGGTGCAAAGTGGTTGGCTGTATTTAAATTCCTAAAGACCTTACATCAGACAAAGTGGCAAAGTTATAACAACCCCCCACAACTTGGTTTAGTAGCAAGGAAGGGAAACAACCAGCAAATGAACACCAAGAGCACCTCTGGGCTGTAAGGTCGGTTTTAAATATGTTCCCACTTGTAAGTGAAAGGCTACACTCTAAGAGCAAAGTAGCCACAAGCTGCTCGACATCACGCTAGCTGTTAGCAAATTCCAACAATTCCAAATCTGTAGGGCTTGGGGCACCCACTTCCCCAGCCCAGCAGCTCCCACGGGTTGTCACGGGTGGCTCAACTTCTACGTCCCCTCTCTGGGAGGGAAGGGGTGCTGCCTGCACGCCTGCAGCAACAGGATGAGAAAGTGAACCGAACGCAAGCGCGTCCCATCACAGGGCTGCTCCACAGAAGCCTAAGGTCTGCTCTTGTGTTCAGTGTAGCTGCCATCCCACCACCACCCGTCGCGTTGTCACCGTCACCTTTTGTGGCTGCTGGTGATGTCCACACATCTGTCTTTAGGTGCAGGGGAACAAGGGCATGAACTGTGCCCTTGCACTGTGCCCTCGACACCAGCACCGATGCTAAAGCCTACGAGGGGCACCTCTCCCTGCAGGAGGCTTGCAAGGACCAAGCCTTTCTCTAATACTTAGCTTGAAAGTCAGAGCAGACTGGCTCTGTGCGTGCCTAAGGGCTGCTTGGCCAGGGTTACAGGCATACAAAGCTGTAGTAATGCAGCAGTGAATCAGACCCTTAGTGTTTTGTTTAAATATAAACATATTGAATCAGTGCTTTTTGTGTAGAAGGCTATTCTTGCGAGCCAAGTGTTTTGACAGTTACAGCAAGGTGGTATGAGTCACTGCCTCTGCCTCAGTCAAGCTCAGAGACAGATACATCTTAATCACATTACATTTTTTTTCAGTGCTACGCCACAAGTCAAGGCACAGGGCCAAATTTCCCCACGGGGACTAACCGGCGTAGCGCTGAGTCCTGAGTGTGAGGTTTGTCCTTCCAGCCTGGATGAACCTTGGAAAAGCGCATTCAGCATCCTGCCAGCGTTCAGCTGCAAGCCCTCTGCTAGTCACCAAGGACTCAGTAAAATTTGCAGCAGCGGGCAGTGCTGCCAGGGCTCGGGAGCCACAGGGCAGGGGCTGCCTGCTCACGCTGGCCAGTGTTTACACCCTGCCGGTGCGTGCCTGCTCTGAATGCACAGCACATCGGAACACAGCGGCAGTAGCTGCCATTAACGCTAATGGAAGTTTGAAGCATAAATCCCACACGCGGCAGTAAGGGAATAGACGCCTCTGTCTCAAGCCTGGGTCTCTCAAACGCAGCTTCGTGAGGGCTTTAATTGTACTTTCAAAAGAGCAAAATGTGCCTGTTCCTATTTATTTCTCCAGGAATAATTACAGTGCTCTATGGCATGGTACCCACGGAGTTATTAGGCATGTTTGGACAGAGGGTTATCTTATCTAAATTGGATTGGAAATAGATTTATAGCATGGCAACTTCACAGCTGAACTGCAAATGGCAAGAAATTCTCTTCATCTGGCCCCTGCGCTCCCGCATCACCCCAGCGACAGGAGCCCCTCTTCAGCACGAATTAGTGCCGGGTGATTTCCACAGCGCTGCAAGCTAGCCCAGACAGGAGGCAAGACGGAGTTTAACAAATGATTGAACAGCCAGGGGGAAAAAAAAAAAAGCAAAGCTTGTGCTTTTCCATCTCAAGCAACGGAGAGGGATCTGCAAGCCCCAGGTCTGCACAGCAGCTCTGCCCCAGAGCTCGTACATGAGACCTTGGGAGCATTCCCACACCTGCCCGTGCCTCCACCTCTCCTACCTTTCCTTGGGAAGAAAATTCATCCCTGCCTGCTCGGTGCTGCAGTGAAAGGGGTTGTACGAGCAGGTACTATTGGCTTGTTGATGCAGACATCTGCAGGGGGTAAGCACAGAGACTCGCTGGCCAAGCCAGACCTGCCGATGCTGCGCGCGGAAAGGGGTGAGTCAAATGTGCCGGTGCCCTGCAGGGTTTCCTCTCGCAGTGTAAGGGAGGATAATCAATATGCAAGCTAAAGCTGGCTGAGATGGAAACCATTTCTGAGCATCTCTTGCATGTACAAATAGAAAACCTGATGCTTCTGAGCACACAGAAATCGGCATTTATTATCAGCAGGAGACGTGACTTCGACATGGCAGGAAATATCATCATGTCCTTGCGACCACTGTCAAACTGCAGTGATAAATTCCCCCGTCTCTAACCTTAGCAGCACTCGCAATCAGGGAGTGCTCAGCTGAAACCCTCCTCTGATTTCACATGCTATGCTGCTGCATTTCCCCTCTTCCAGGGGCAGGAAAAGCGGCTGGTCCCACTGTGGGATTCCCAGTTGATAATGCAAAGCTACCAGACCACAGCAGATGAACATGTGGATCGAAACCACATGCCAGCCCCAGGATTTCACACAGACTGCCAATCGATTGCAGTCCTTCCAGAGTATCGGGTCTTATTCCTCACTCAGGCAGAGAGACCCCCCCTTTAATTGACCCATGGAAAGGTGGGGACCCACAGCCATGCTGTTGTCTGCTGGCTGGAGCCGCTGGCTTTGCACTTTAAAACTGCCTTTCTTTTCGTTTGCTAATTGCTTTGCAGATCTCCCTAATTGCAGATTCTCCCTGGGCAGACGGTTGTGCAAGGCACAACCGCCTGAATAGCTCTCACGAGTGCATAAAGACACGAAACGTAATGACCGAGTGACTATTCCTGTCTCTCTCCTTGTAGTCCCCACTGCTTTTATCAGTAGAATAAAATCGTATTTCCAGCTTCACCCCCTTTCAACACTAACCCGAGTGATTTCCCTCGCTCTGAGGCAAGCCCGACCACCTGAAGTCTGCAAACTTGTTAGTTACCTGAGGATGCGGAGTCAATCTGCAAAGGGTCTTTCTGGGATAATCTCAGCAGTTCTGGTAAGATTTCCTCCTCGCACGGGCTCAGCGAGCATTTCTGGCAGCACAGCACTGCTGAACGGTTACCTGCCGTGGTGGATCATGGAGAAACACACATGGTTCAGGTGGCAAAGTCAGGACATACACGGCAAGTAGCTGGACCGCAAGAGAGGAAAGTGCTATTCCAGCAGCCCCACAGGTCTTAATAACAGGAAAAATAAGAGTTCTGATGTCACATCCAATTCTCTAACTTTGACCTTGCTTCCTGGACTCCCTCTCAAACATCAGAAAAGTAAAGTAAAACATTAAGAAAAATCATTTCAGTCTCCCGGTGGTATAGCTGTAATCCTCTCGGAGCAAATGCTGCAAAAATACAGCTTGCGCCTCTAAATATCCGGAAGTTTCCTGAGCTAGAACACGATTACTGCCCTGAACACCACCTTTAAAAATGGCACATTATTTTCTCCATTAATTCTTGTCAGCCTCGGAGGAAAGCTAAAGGGGTACTATTAAAACCACACCATTATTTTGAGTAGTAGCATTAATTTCCTATCACACACGCACATACACACCCACACTGCCTGCAGAGTAATACAGGTCTGGGGAAAGTCAGATTACCATTTTTATTTAACAGAATTATTGCAGCGTGCACGTTTCAGTGTTTGCCTTACATAAGGTACAGCTTCTAGGCTGCAAGTAGATGCAGCGGTACCCGGCTGACGCCTTGCCTTCTGCGGGGAGTATTCAGCATGCTGTAGTAAGAATATTTCCCACTCCAGGAGAAAAATGATCACAGATATGCATGTGCATACCCAAACTCTGTACTTTTACATGTGTGTGCAGAGACACTCACACTTTTTATGTACATGAATAAAAATAAACAGGTCTAAATCCTGCAAGAGAGAAAGAAACAGAGAGCGTGTATGTGTGCGTAGTCATGTCTCGCAGATACAAGACATCTATATTTAGGTAGTTGTCTCATCCAAGAGGATGATACTTCACTAGCAGGCAATGAAAGAGTAGCTACGGTTACTTTTCAGAGTCCAGCTTTGACCGTAAAAAGATGATTCTGATTAAAATGACCTTTCATAAAGCATGCTAGAGTCCAGCAGAGCAGCAGGCACCTCTGCCCACAGCCCGTAGCACTGCAGGACGAGCGGCAAGCCTCCCCCTCAGCTCTTTGCCCTCTTCCGCGACGCAGCAAAGCCGAGAGCTCACCAACAAATACAAAACTTACTCCACGCCAACAGCCACCTGCTAAAGCCATTTGGGCAGACGCCGCCGGCAGAGCCCCATGCCGGCTTGCTGCCACGGACAACCCCACGGCTTGCTGTCCCCAGCCACCGCCAAGCTCAACGGGACTCACGCCCCGGCTCCGGAGGGAGGGCTGCTCCCCGTCCTTCCCTCTTCCCTCCACCCAGCAAGCCCCGGCTCCGGAGGGAGGGCTGCTCCCCGTCCTTCCCTGGCCGCTCGCAGCCGCCTGCTGCTTCTGGAGGCAGTGGAGGCGGTGGAGGTGGTGGTGGAGGTGGGGGTGGAAGTGGTGGTGGAGGTGGTGGTGGTGGTGGCCGGGGCTGCCCGCGCTGCCTGTGCTGGAGGTGCTGCTCCCGTCCCCCACGTCCCTGGTGGCCGAGCCGCCGTTGAGGTTGGTCAGGCTGGCCTGGCTGGCGGGGGGG